CCTGCTTCAAGATTTCAGATTTAAAGCTGTTTCCAGCAATATGAACAGTTCCCGCTCCCTCCCCCCAGTCAAAAGGCTGTCCTGTTCTACTGGAAGAGTTCACAGCTGTGAAATTACTTGCATATTTGCTTCTTATGAGAATATGTCTTTATAAAATATATAATTCAATCCCAAGAAATACATATTAAGTAAAGGTGCACTGGGATGAGTTTCCAAAAATTCAGAGAACTCCTTTGCACAGAAAAAAAAAAAATGACTTTTGGAGGATTGCTTTTGTCTATAAAAAAAGTAAATTTCAGGAACTTTGCTTTTCCTCCCCTCTTCTGTATAGACTACTGCTGCTTAAAGCAGTTTAGTCAGTACGTTTGCTCTGCCCCGAGAGCACAGCTTGCCAGCAAACATGAATTCCATGGCTTTGCTTAGCTGTGGAAAAGAAAAATGGACCTTATATCAGTAATTGTTATCATAGTGAGTTTTCCACCAAGACTGTTTCAAAGAATATGCTAGTTCATAACATTTAATCATTTCAACATACGACTTGTATTAAGGGGCTATTTGGGGGCAATATGTATCATTAATATTTCATTTAAGAAATGAAAGTCCCTTAGAGATTGAAAAGGTACACTGTTTATAGACTTTGAGATCCCTTTAGTGTGGAATGTAATTCCCATTATACGTGAGCAGAAATTATATGTTTCTTTTGAACAAGACCAGAAGGTTTCAGTTTATTGGGGAAACTGAAATTGTGTTTCTTGATACTGTAGTGCTGCTTGCAACAGCACAGGCTTTAGTTTGTTAGATTTCATCAACTTCATTAAATAACAGAATAGCTTAAAAAACCTTATAGTGTTTAAACCTCTTATAGTTCTCTGTATGCTGCATTATTTGTGCCTACTATAAGGTGATTATGGTGTAGCTAAAGAGCGTTATATAGATTGTGAATGCTTTGCTTCTCTTTGAGCTTTATGAATTCTTGTGATTATTTCCCTAATGCTTTATGCAACTTTCTGTTATTTTTCTCTCTTTTCTTTTTCTTTTATGCAACAAACAGTTCACATGTGAAGCACAGAATGTATGTGTGCATATGTGTACATTTATACGCACATGCACACACACACGCACAGACAAATATGTATAGATGAATGGGTTTGAAATCCATGCACACCATGTCACATTTGTGACTTCTTTAAATGAATATATGGGGAAAATGTGATGCGGGAAGCTGTTCATGTGGTGGGGTTTGCCACAACTCTGCCAAAATGAATGGGACTGTGACAGTCTGTCCTTGCTGAGCAACTCCCCTGTGGGATTACATACAATTTTAAGAGATCTCTTGTACAAATGAGGGCTTAGTTCTGCTCCATTTCATGTTAGTGGCAAAACCATGATTGATTTCAAGGTGGGAAGGATAGGGCCTTATGCATGGAAGTTTACTTGCACTGACTGAAGATTAATGATAAGGTTAAAACAATGTTCTTTTAACATGTACCTCTTTGAGAAATGCACTGTTCTGTAGTGCAGTTATCAAGTCATCAACTCTTACCAAGATTTCCTGTAGGAACCTGTTGTAAAGTCTTTAACAGTCAGACTCTAATGTGAAAAATGCTTTTCAATTTGTAAAGTAATTCACAGACAACACATTATATTTAGTTATTTAGTTATTTGCCCCTTAAACCATTTTCATAGGGACCATATGGCTGCAAAATGAAAATTCAGTGGTATTTGTATAAATATGCACCTGTCATTGTGAATATGTATGTGTATCGTAAGAAAGGTTACACAGCCTTGAAGAGCACGTGAGTTGATATTGGTTTATTAAATAATAAAAATAATAATAATATTTGTTTTCACAGTTTCATGTTCCACACTATGACGTGAACTTTATGTAGTGCAGTATGTAACAGAAAATGTCCTCCAACTCTTAAGTGTTAAAGTGAATCAACTACAATCTGTAATGAACACGGGTTTGCTGTTTTGTCAAAAAATAGTTGAAAATCGAACAAATATAAAATCTGTAAGGTGCTAAATTACCTCATCACTTGAAAATACCTAGGTTACTGTAATCTGTTCTTTTCCTTCTCTCCAGCTAAGAATAGGAGATTGTTCTTAACCTAATGTTAGCGTCCAGTTTATCTTTTAATGATGGGATGGTATCTTGTAATTTTGAGTGATCAGCTAAAAAAAAAAAAAAAGAATCCTACATCATGCAGCAGCTTTGCATGGAAATAAAAGTCTGTGAGAGGTTTCAAAAGTCTGAGAGGTTTCAAATGGGTGGGAGAGCTCCCAGGAAAACCCTCTGTTGAGAGAGCCGAGCTTTCGGAGCCAGACGGAGGCTCCGCTGAGCCAAGTGTGCGGTAGGAACACTTTTTGCCTGGCTTTTCCTGTTTTTTTTTTTGCTTTTTGCCTCTTTCACCTTGCACCTGAATTTGCAGAATGGCCAAGTTCCCTGGACTCCCCGTTGAAGGCACTGGATGTGTAGGTACATGTATAGTATATGCACAATCTATAGAGGGGTTGAAAACACATGTAATGCACACACCCGTATTTGTATGCATTTTAATGTCTGTATTTGTGCATGTTGATTATATTCAAATTTGCTTAAACTAATCCTCAGCAGTGAAGTATGAAGAAAAGATAATACTGTATTCAGTGTGTATTTGTTGTCTGATGTTATATGAGGTAATTAGTTTGTGGTTTGCCCTGCAATACAGTGTTTTGGGATTTAAACTCTAGTGAAAGAGGAGCTAACAATGTTTCTGCAAAGGCCTCATCATTTTGTTAATTGCACTATGATATTGTAAATATTGGCACACTTACAACATAAGTTAAAGATTTTACAAAGTTCTGCATACAATTATTTTTTTTAAACAAAAGTGCTTGGGTATTTGCTTTTTCAAATATACCTTTTTTGTATTAATGTGATGCAGGAAACTAAAAAGAAAGCTGTTGATTTATCAACAACAACAACAACAACAAAAGTAAAAGTTTGAAAAATAAATGCCGATGAATGTTTTATTTCATATAATCAGCTGAAAAAAACACCTTCATTTCTGTGCCATTGTTTCATCATACTGTGTTGTACTTGTGTTTCATATTTGACCATGTCATCCCGGTGGCAGTTTGTTGTTTCGCTAGATTTAACATTGCCGTAGATTATTGTAAACAATGTAATAAATATATTTAAAAAATACACACTGTTTGGTGAGTTTATTTTGGAAATGTGATTAACAGACTTTAAAAAAAAAACACTAATGGTTGGTATTGCATGTCCATTTTGGATCAGCATTGTCCATCTAAGAGTTCACATAGTGTAAGCAGATGGGATTCATGCATTCTGATGGGCTCCTTTAAATAGTAGATGCATTCGGTACCTTTTTAAGTAATAAATTCTGGGCTCTAGCGTAGGTGTAAAAGGTCCTTGAAGGAAGTATTTTGTTTCTAATGGGTCCTTTAGAGCCAGTAAAGCCACCTGCCGTGAACTGGTTGTGGGTTTGTGTGCACATGACAGGGCACAGATTTGAAGTATGAAGTGAGGGGTCGGGATCATGCACCCAAAGCAACGTGCCAGCTCCCTGCTGACAGCCAGACCCCAGCCTGCTCAGTCGGCAGGGAAGTCTGCATGCAAAAAGCTAAGGGGACTCAAATGTACCTGCTGCCTTCTAAAATAAGTTTCCTTGAATTATCTGTTTGCTCTTTAAAAAAACATATCTCTTCCCTACTTCTGTTTGGTGGTTACAGTTTATGACACTCTGTCTCCTGCTGTCCTGCTGCTTTAGATCATGTTCAAACACTCTCTTGAAGTGGGGCTGATATAAATGCTGGTTTTGAAGCTCTCTTGCTAATATAAGGAACTAGGTCTGCCTGAAAAGACACGCAGACATG